TAAGTACAAAATTAGTCATGGCAGTAGTATCAAGAATAGGCAAAACTGAGAAACAATTCAACTGTTCATCAATATAGAATGCATAATGAGTTATAGTCACAAAATGTAATACTTTACAACAATGAGAATGAACAAATTAATGTTACACCAACAGTATGGATGAACCTCACAAATCCAGTGTCAAGGGAAAGAAGCTACATACAAGCATGTATACTATAAAATTCCATTTATGTAAAGTAACAAAAAGGGGGAAAATTAAGGTAGAGTGTTTTGAAGGAGAATAATGACTAGGAGAGACATGCAATACGGCTTATAAAACCCTAATTATAGTACAAACAATCCTGATACCCTCGATTCTCTCTGTTGCCCGCTTTCCATACACATGGACAGCCTCCTACTTTAGTATCCAGGACTCCTGTCTGAGGGCTTCCTTTGCCAAAACAGCATGCTTAGCTATGCTGGTGGTGTAAGGGACTTAACACTCGTCAGCTCTGCTGTCAAACAATGATAGCCATGAGACGGCAGAGGAACAGCCCTGCCACTCCCAGAGGACTGCAGCAACACTGAGGCCTAGTCCACAGAGGTAAACCTGCCTATGTAATGCAACCAGTCCTGGCTCCATTTTCTTCCCTGTCTCAGTCCCCATTCTCCTACTAATGCTTAGATAGAATCACCTTCCAAACAAACAACTTACACTATAATCTCAGCCTCAAGGGAAACCTACAATGAGATAATAGTAACGTACTATGTCTTCATTTAAGTGCTGGCTACATGGGTAATGGTATGATCATTTTATAAAAATGCGCTGAGCAGTAAACATTTTGTTAAGTTAATAATATACTTTAGAATACGGAACAGAATCCAGGTCATCTAATTCCCAAGTCAAGATAATTTCTTATTGTGACTTCCTTTAGAGGGATTCAGAAGACATGAAAGGCACAGTTCGAGGGGGACTTCCACTTTCAGAAAAGATGAAACAACAGGAAACGGATTAAATATCCAGCCTGAAACAAGCAAAACTATACAAAAATACTGGACACCAGGCAATGAAGAACAATGATCCCTGAGAGACAGGAACAAATGAAATGAGTCTTAACACTGCCCTACTTACTGCCCTGAGAAAGTTTCCAGGCCACAGCTCAAGGAGGGATAAATCTAAGCAGAGACATGTGGGTTCCAGAGAGGAGGAACAGGAAGGAGAGGAACTCCCAAGACCTGCACAGGGTCCCCACAAGTACTCAGCTGAGTAGAGGTCAGTACATGCCTATGATAAAACTGCCTAAGGCCAGGAAAAGAAAAGGGGGAAAGGAAACAGTGTTGAGCTCATACAGGCTGGAAAACATCAAGACACACAGGCATTGCAGAGTCTGTAAAACTAAAACTTTTGCTAGGAAATGTAACAGAAAAACTTTGCAGCAAAGACTACTTACATATGATACCAAAAGCATAACGAAAAAAGAAAAAATTGATTTAACAAACCAAATTTTAAAATAGCATGTTCTTTGAAAGACACAGGTAAGAGAATGAAAAGACAGGGAACAAATGGGAGCAAATCTTTGCAAAGCATATAACTAATAAAGGACTTGTATCCTCAATATACGAGAAAACTTTCGAAGCCAAATGAAAATTATCTCCATTTTAAAAATAAAGAAGATATACAGATGACAAATAAACACATGAAAGGATGTTCAACAATATTACTCATTAGAGAAATGTAATTAAAACCAAAATTAGATACCACTGGATACCTATCCAAATAGCTAATTTTACTAAGACTGACCACATCAAGTGTTTATGAGGATGTAGAGCAACTACAGCTCTCCTCCAAGACTGGTTAGAAAGTAAAATGGTACAAAACCTTGGTAAAACAGTTTGGCAGTTTTCAAAAAATTAACCATCCACCTACCATATGATCTTGCCCTTTAATCCTTAGGTATTTATCCAAGAGAAATGAAAGCATATGTTCATATAAAGACTTGTACATGAATGTTCATAGCAGTTTTATTTGGAAAATCCAAAACTCAAAATAACCCAAATGTCCCAAATGTGAAATATCCATACAATGAAATACTATTCAGCAAATACAAAAGAAATAAACTATATGATATAACATGGATGAATCAAAAAAATAATTATTCTGAGTGAAAGAAAACAAAAAAGAAAAGTACCCTGTGTGATTCATTACTCAAAATTCTAAAAAAAAAGCAAAGTAATATATAGAGGGACAGAAAATAGATTAGTGGTAGCTCTGTGAGGGGATGGGATGTGATGAGCAAATGTAGGAGGGAGGAGATTCTAAAGCAGCAAGAGAAAACTTTTAGGGGTAAAGGATATATTCATTATCTTGATTGTAATGATGGTTTCATGGATATACACATATATGAAAGCTTATCAATTATACTTACACTTTCAATATGTGCAGTTTATTGTTAGTCAATTACAATCAAATAAAGTTGTCAAAAAAAGAAAAAGAACAATACTTTTACAAAATCATATATAAGCATCAATTAATTTTGTTTATTACTCACTTCCGCCCAGTGTGCCTAGTCAATCTAACCATCAGCTTGCGTGCCTCTTCTGAGCTGGACTGAGTGATTTTAACAAATGAAACTGGTTTCTC